TTCAGCGATCTATAACTGGCTATCATCACAGGTGGCAGAGTTCTTTGAGAAGGATATGTGAAACCTCGTTCATCGTTACTGTAAATGTTTAAACTGACAAGGAAACTATGTAGACAAATACATAACCGTACGCAATATCCTAAAATATTTTTAAATTCTTTATAGGGTATTTTTATTGTAACACTGACCTTACTTAAAAAACAACCTTCGTAGATTTGCAAAGCAAATGGTCACGTTAAATCACAATACACAATGACATGAAGAAAGGATTCATATCGCATGGTTCGGTCACGCAAGCATAAGTCACAGAAATTATGAACGAAATATACTGCAAACTTGATGCAAAAAATGCGAAAACTCACCATTGCCTTGTGCAATGAAATATTCTAATTACACTCACCTCTGAATAGCGTGGAACGGACAATTTGCAGGAATATTCTAGCTGTTCTTACGTTATTGAACAATATGCTGTTTAATGAAATATTAGGTATTTACGAAACGAAATATGTTTTGAATCGTATTTTATTTCCTTATTTTCAATATTTCATATTCCAGGAAACGTATAAAGATCAGTGTCTAAACCTACAAGTCGTTTTAAAATGAATCATTGTGAACAGTTTAGGAATTTTTCACGTATGAACTTGGAACAAAATTCGTAAAACTCATTATCTTAACTAAATCGGCTTTGACAAATGAAGACTTACACAGCAAAACTGAATTTGTATGAAAGGTACAGGTCTTTTTTTGTAATGAATTCTGTCCATATAATTCTGAAAACATAGTAAAACCATTATGACAGTAATTTCAATTATGTATGCTTATTTTACCTCACTACATGAATAGTGTATGTACCATGGATATACCACATAAATATTGTTAACAAATTATTTTTAAATAGTGATATAATTTCTTTATTTGAAAATTTCTATCCTGCTTTTCTATAAAAATACATCAGAAAATCTTCCGAAAATCAACCACGTCCTCGCCGGGAATCAAACCCCAGACCTTTCAGTTTTCTATATGGATATGTCCCCTACTACAATACAATAAAAAATAGGATAAATAAATTTACAAAATTAATAAAGAAATCATTCAGATGTGAAAACAAATTTATTGCATTTATTTTATTAATCGTAAAACATTATTACTCTTATTTTTATTGAAATTTATAATTTACAGATTATAGCAATATAGATTTTAATTAACGAAAATTCTTTAAAAATGCGTTTTCAAGCAATATGCGTAATTCCTAGAAATTTGACATATGATCACTTAAAAAAGTCGGTTGAGTTAAAGATAAAATTTTAATATTTTATAGGAACCTGCTCAGTTTAGAATTTTATTTCGTAATTTACTTAAGATTCACTTATGAAGCAATGAGGAAATGTAAATATATATATAACCCTTTTGTTGGGAGTTCAGAAAATTATAGTTGCTCTCTAATTATTTTACCAATTAGCTCTCAAACAAATAAATCGAAGCTAATATTATCTCAAGGCATTTTAAATATAGGTAATTCACTCGGCACAAATTGCAAACAATACGTTGAGCTAGTGAAACTCATTCTGCTGCGTTTTTCATTGAATAATTAATTTTGTGGCAGCTGGTATAGGGTCACATTTTCAAATCAAATTAAATCTTCAGAATACCAGTATAGTTCAAAGGTTAACGCATTAGCGTTTGAGTCGTTGCGAAATAATTCTGCACAATGAAGCGAATTGAATTTACCCTTCTATAAATTACTCCAAAAATACTTGAAATGCATATTAAGGATATCTTTCAACAGGCATTAAAATAGTATCGAGTGTTTATATGTTCATTCTGTTGTCGGAGCAATGAGCGCAAGCCGATAATAATACTTCAAAGCATTTTCAAATACTAATGGAGTGAACCTTTGTATGGGAAGATGCGATATTAGAGAGATTCCTTTCAAGGATAGTCCAGCGTCATATATAAAAAGATCATTTTAATTGCAATACATGTTAGTATAAAACTATACACAGTATTAATTCAGATGCATCGGATACTGTTGCATTCTTCTCACAGTAATAAAAGTGTATTACTGATATCAGTATTGAAATGACTGAAATTTTAATATTTTAATAGCAAATTGTAAGGAAAGGGACTTTTGCATTCATGCTGCGTACATTTGATAGCTAATGGAACATTTTGCACATTTAATGAGGATGTTGGATTAAGTATGCTGTATTTTAAAGCGTTACTTTATATGAAATAAAGTAACACTTAACGTTAACAGCCATACAGCTCCATCATAAAAATGACTTATTAAACAGCACTCTCCTTAATATACAATTATGATATTTAACAGATTGATAATTTATAAATACACTATTAATCTGTTCACTAATTATTGTAATTTATAAACAAGAGCGCGCGATGTTTTCTTCTCAGCAGTCATCATACATTGAATTTCTCTTTAATAATAAGTTGAATATGCCTCCAGACAGTACAGTGGTTAGTGACCGAAACGCCGTCGCATGGACCTCCGACCTAAGGTTCTACACCAATCAGAGTTATGCCCATGCGACGGAAAAGAATCGACCATCCACCGCCTTGGATGTCACTGAATCATTGATAGTAATATTACAATGCTAAATCGACAATGTCATCTATACAATAATTATTACATAATAATCCGTATAAAAAATAAATATACAATCAATAAATCATTACATTGCCATGGATAGGATCTATGTTGTGGAGAGTGGAACTCATATATTAACTAGTTTCTTCTTCAATACGTCATAAATTCAAGTTCTTATCAGTTACACACCTAATGATGTGTGTCCGTATTATGGTTGCAGTTATCCACAGAGTAGGCCAAGTCACATCAGTTCAGGCAGTTGATAGTTCCATAGCCCAAAGTATATGATGTTGTGTAGACTATTCCATGTTCATATAAACTGAATTCTAAGTTAACTTTTGATAAATTCGAAGTACACTTTTGTTAAGTTCATTGTTCACGTAAATACTATTTTTCCACTTCGATACATCATAACCTCGTGTTAAAAAAAACAAGGAAGAAATTTAATTCTTAAATTTTTTCAACACAATTCTATATTGTGCAAAACTATGTATCGATTTATAATGATTCTTATCTATATAAATCAATTCTTATCTAGGCAATAATTTATCTTAATTATAATATATAAATGTCCTCCTAATTAACATATTCCGGTTTAAAATACAATTATTCTCAAAAACTAAGAAAAGAAAAACAAACAAATAATATAGCAATAACATTTAGTTTGCTATTTTAAGACATAGTCTTTAACTGAGAACGCAACTCTTTTTTAAAAAACAGGGCAAGAGTAAGAATTAGAAATGTGACAAATGTTGTACTGTGCGTGTGCTTCTAAATTTGATCTTAAACAGTTAATACAAGATGGAGCCTCTTTACAGTTCGGAACTAAATTATCATGCATATGAGTGCAGTGAGAACAAAATAAAGAACTTGTACAATTTCGAATAAGGTGGTCAAAAGCCTGGCAACCATGGCGAGTACCGTAGCGATGGGCTTGGATTCGAATCCCGGAGAAGGCACGGTTATAACTGTCCGTCCCTTCATAGGAGGCAAAGGTGGCCACCTATTAGGTGCTTCCATGATGAAATCGCCACCACTTCCGGCCCTTGTAGTTGGCGCAAGGCTAATGGTTATTTAATAAAGCGTCCGGCCATGAAAAAATGATTATCTGTTTTGCAGATTGTCCATTGATCATCCTTCGAAGAAGTTCTCCTATTACATATTGAAGCAGATTGAAAACTCATGGAAAATATGCACGATTTTTAATGCAGTAAATTTTACATCTAAGGTTTGAAATGAATCTTTATCTTTTAAATATAATTCAGAAGTGGAAAAGTCCGATCTTTGATGTCAAGAATTAGGAAGTCTTCATTAATGTAGATGCAACAGTATCTCATTTACTACGTTATTTCTAGCATTCAAGAATTTGAAAATATAATCGAAGAAAACAAAAAAAAAAAAACTTAGGCAGTGAAAATTAAGGACATTAAAAGATATGGAGTGCATGAGATTATTGCAATTTTGTTGCAGTAAATCATAAAGAATCAGTAAAACAGGTGCGAAACGAAAAACGAAGATAAAGCTGAAATAGCAATGGTGCATATAAGGAAGCACTGAAAGGGTATACATGAGGTTGTTATGCAATACATTTTGCTGAAGAAAAACATAAATATTTCGCACGTTTTATCATTATTAACATTATTTTAAACAAAAAAAATTAATTAATATTAAAGCATTATTATAAAAAGGAACTGTTCACCTTCCATTGCAATTTCTAGAAATCACTTTTACGAAGCCTACACATTACTTAAAATTCCATAAGACTATTTTGTTCTGCGCACACCCATATGTAAATTTGTATGGATAAACGGAACACGTATGGAAATTAAATATTAAGCACTATTTTACATAATCACTTATGATCAAATATTTTTTTCAAGAGCTCTACAAAAACGTTTAAAATGATCAGTTAAAAATGTTAATTTCATATTCTTGTTGGCCAATTTTTCTTTTTCTTAAAAAAAAAAAAACTTAAATGCATGAAAGATGCACTTAAAAATTTGAGATATATTTATTCCATCAAACACTGCTAACTTATAATCCAGTAACATTTATTTTATATGAATCTTAGGCCGTTAGACTGAGTATATGACTAAGCAACAGGAGATCTAATTAATAACACCCGAGTTCAGCGCAGCAGTTTCTGTATTGTTTTGAAGAATACAAAATAGAAATTTGGGCAAATTTTACATTTTTTTAAATTTAATATATCCTTAAAACAGACGATATCACATTCTATAACTTCTGAGAATTTCATTTTCATAGTATCCGTGCATGGAGTACAGTTTTACATGATGATTTTCCGGTTATTTCTGCACATTTGTGCATTAATTAGAATGGATAATCGGAAGTTCAATGTAGTATCCATAGATATGTTTTGCATAATTTTACTTACATGTCCACTTATTGTGTAGGTAACATTGGAAGTAGTAATCCATCCACCACGAGGATCTGCTGTGATACTAGTTGCAGCTTGCACGGAACGTCCTTCAACAACCCATGAAACATCTGCAGGAGGATTGCTTCTGTCCGTCGTGCAAAACATTGTCACCGTATCTCCTTCTTGCGCCTCTTTTGGACCCACGAGAGTGACCTTACTCGGAGCGACTGCAAAAATAATACAGCATATTAGGAATGATAAGAACATAATAAAATGCATTTCAGATAAGATATCTCAGTTTCTACAGCTACATATTTACTTACATTGGACTGTAAGCTTGACCATAGCAATCATCGGTTTGAGGCTGACCGAGTTAGTGGCTTCGCATCTATAAATGGCATTGTTATCATTTGATTCAACAACAAAAGTCAATGTGTTTGTAGATTCTCTGCCAGTTGTGGTATACGTAACGTCAACTTGCTGGTCATTTCTGTACCAGACTAGTTTTGCCAGAGGATTCCCACCACGGGAGACGCAGGCCAATGTCAGCGTGTCACCCATTCGAACTGTTTCACCTTCTACATAGCCTTCTATTTCAGGTGGGCCAGGGGGAACTATACAGAAAAAAAAACTTTTTTTTATCACATATATGTTAAAGCAATTAATGTACATATCAAATAAAAATTAATGCATGATTTTTCTGACTCCAATTAAAAAATAAGTTTAATAATTTAAAACTAATTAAAAGATTTTTTTTAGATTCTGAAAATTATTTTTTTAATTCTTGCATAGTTTGCTGACGTAATTCTTACAAGCAAATGACTCTGCTCATAATCTTAATAAATCTAAAGATTCGTATAATAGTAGTAAGCAACTGTGTATACCTTTCCACAGAGACTACAACAACATTTTTAAATCTTTCCCTCTTTTACTCAACTGAAAATGTATTTTCAGATTATCAAAATATAATCTAAGCCATCGACATCACATTCATGGCTTCATACTTTCAAGTTTCGTACTTTCTACAATAATGGTCTAAGGGAGGTTCGGAATAATCATTTCCTACAAAACCCACTAAATTCTTTATTACGTCCTGCAACGAAAAGAGTTTTAGTTTTGCTACCCCTGTTCCATCCATTAATCTAATTTCATTTCCTGTACCAGTCTCAGACGTCTCAGATTATCATATCTGTTCATAATTTTTTCCCACATTGCTTGCAAACTTTACAGAAAGAAAGCAATGACTCATAAGAAACGTCTATGAGCTACGAAAGCAAAGATAGATGAAAACGTTAATGGGAAAATAATATATAATCGAAATAATGCGTCGTATATATGAAATATCATATTGTTAATATAAACAGAAATGAACCAGAACAAATGTGAAATGACATTTAAATAAAAAAATCTTCTGAATTTGAAACGTAAAAATAGTGTTTCGCTTCATACTTAAATAGTTCAAAATTATTTACTTCGAATTAGTATTTTCCTTCTTCTCAAAAGTATATTTAACAAATATTAATCTTGCCACTTACAGCCGACGTTGAATGCACGGCTGATTATTCTAAACAACTGCATATTTATAAGCATTTTAAAATGTTATCGAAAATAAAATATTAATCATTCATAAACTAATTCGTAATATTTAAAGCACATTAGTTTCAACAATGAGCTTATGGAAATAGAACAGACAAAGTTTTTCCTCATTCTGTAATGATAAAGGTCTGACGTGGACTCTACATGACTTCTTTGTACAGCCCATTAAATTATACACATTTTTGCTGCATTTCATTTAAACTTATTTCCTTGAATTTCATTAGAGATATATTTCTCCTTCAATTAATTCAGTTCTCCCTTTGCGGTAAGACACAAATACGTAAAAATTAAAAAAACAGCATTAAAAATTGAAAAATATCGAAAAACATAAAGCACCAAATACAGTTAAAACAATTACAATAAAAATTAGAGTTTCTAGGTAAAAGCAAGCAATATGGCCAGCGTGCTAGAAGGCAAATTTTTCAATGCACAAAACGGAAAATTTACGTTTGGCTCCGCTCGGCAAAAAAGGCACTGAAAGTGCAGATATTGATTTAATTCACTATTCTGCTGGGTTTCAAATGCAAACGAATGGTTGCTCCGTTAGGCTTAGTCGTACTTAAGCAACTTTTAGATTGTCGATAATTCTACAACTATTGTATGCAGATTAACTAAAGGCATAAAAAACTTAACCGGAACATAACAACAACATAATTCAATCGCTTTTAAAGAAAAATACACAATTTACCAACACATAAGAATAAAAAAACTGAGCTCACCGAACCGTGTAACAGAAATATATATACATATATATATATACATACTTTTGGTGCGGCGGATTGCAACCAAAACGAAAGAAGCACAGTTGCATGTTTTAACAGGCCCATATGCAAAATTTTAACGTTCTCAATTTCAACTCATTTTTGAGTTACGCGATATATATACAAGCATACATACATAGGTTAAAAAAATCTCTTCTGAATCTATTTTAAGTCCAATTTACAATCTTTTTTGGCAAAAAAAAGTCCTTTATTCTATCTGTACGTACAGATACATCGCTCAAATAGTTTCGAGAGGGGTTGAAATGATATTTTCGTTGAAATATGATACCCTAAATTTTTCGCGATTACAATATTTCCTTTACTTAGTAGAAGGAAATAAAAAGGTGATATCTTAAGTAACGTTTTATGAACAGAGAAGAGATACTAATTCCACAGTAATTTCCTCTTCTTAATAATTTCGTTAAACCTGTCTGTTGGGGAAAGGAATGATTCTAACTTAACAAGTATAACACAAGTTATAAGCATTAACGCAAATGAAAAAAAAAATATATCCTTTTGCGGATGTTAATCTGTATTAAGTAAAAAGAAAAATATTTCTAAAAACGTTCTTTCACAATGAACTATAATATTAATTGCCTGCAATATTAAAAATATACATGCTGTTAATACACATACATTTACATAAAAATTAGTTTGAACTACTTTGAAGTTCTTTATTGTGCCATTCCTGAATAATAAGTTATATCTTATGTTAACAATAACATAAACATGTTAATGAACTTCTAAGTAATATATATAATAGAAAGATTTTATTAATAAGAAACTACCTTTTGCAAAACCGGTTGGGTTTTGAAATCAGTATGCAATTTAAGATTGTAAGAACTCTCCTAATTAACAAATAAGCTAATTTGACACTTTTTTTTTAGTTTTTCTTAATAAAAAATATACAACAATATTTCATCACTCAATAAAAAAATCAATTATTAAAGTCATCTTTATTAGTATTCCAATCATTAAAATGCATTCATTATATGGCTTAATTCTTGAATAACTCAACTATCTAATGCTAATAAAAACTTTATTAAAATCTGATTACATAAATTATATGTAAATAAAAATGTAAATGCAAATTCATAAGGTTATTTGGCACGGAATCCAGGGAAAACGTTTCTTCTTAATTCATTAAAAAGCGTATATAAATTATACACATTAATATTAATAGCACTGTAAATATAATACGACTGTAAAACTTTTAGTCTCACAGAAATTATATCACCTTTATTATTATCTCTAATGAGATAACTGTAGGATAAAATAAGGTTCCAGAATAGTAAGATTACCTTTGTTTAATATTTCACAAGATGTAAAGTTTGATAAATGCAGAGTTTAATTTTTTTTCTGAATAATTTACCAGAAGTATCATATATTCTTGTTACATATTGAATCATGTTGATTCTTAATAATGAGCCTTTTAATAATTGCTGCATGATCATATTTTGCTCGAAAACTGAGATTTAAATAACATGTAATTTTATTAAGATTTAATGAATTTTTAATATGAAAAAATCCCTCTAATAAAACATTACACAGCTTATATTAACTTTCAAAATTACACTTAATCAGTAGCAGAATTTTTAATATGAAAACAACCTCTAATAAACATTACACAGCTTATATTAACTTTCAAAATACACTCAATCAGTAGCATTGCTACTGATTGAAACATACTCTTAATAATGAGCCACTTATTAATTGCTACATGGTCATATTTTGCTCGAAAATTGCGATTTAAGTAATGTTATTGAGATTCACAGAATTTTTAACATGAAAATGAACCCCTCTAATCAAAAATTATACAACTAATAATTAAAACGGATATTTTCAAAATTGTATTCATGTAGCATTTATATTAATACTTATGAACAGATCATTCATTCCGATATTTCTGTACACTTTTTAATACCTTCGATGAAAAAATATTAAATAACTCCTTTATAAAGTGTAGGAAAGCGGTTAGGAATGTATCCAGTAGTGAAGTATTTCCAGACAGTCCCCCGTTTTTTGATGAAACCACGATTAATATCAAGCCCACATATAAAGCGATATTTGTGAAATATTAATTGATAAATTACACTCAATACTATGTTCAAGCATTATTACACTTTAACTATATTCATTGGACAGTGAAACAATATATTAATTTTTAAGTATATATTTTGTATGGCGTAAAATAACCTTTAAACTCTGTTTAGTCAATAATTATTTCAACTACAGGTCTATAGGAATTTTATCGGTATACTCATTGTTATATAGTAATTACAATGGAAATGCTGAGACTATAGAACAAAATTAATACTAAGCATTAAGAAGGAAATGTTATCAACACAACGGAAATGTCACAACGATATCATTCAAATATCACGGTTCATAATGTATTCAACGGAAAGAAGAATTTACCATATCATATTACTACTACTAACCATTGTATAAATGCACATGACGTTACATTATGGCCTAATGAATCCTGTATTTCAATTATATGGTGTAAAGCACTCTGGAGTGGAGGGTGGGTTACACTGAAAATGGAGTTTCCAATCTAACTAGCTATCGATCAGCACAAAATGAAGTTAGAAATCGGATAGTTCTAAATTCCATTGGCGCAAACTTACGTATTCACATTGGGCACATGTCTGCATATTCTGTATGGCTTTACTGTGGCTGGTTAGTTTAATTGTAATGAGTTCCGTAGCGAACTATGAAAGAGATAGCTATTGGATATACACAGAGGAAATTGATTGCAAAAGGCCTGTTTAGCTGTGTAGAGGATACGAGTGTTAGATGCAAATGCATTATTTCAACATGGCATTTGCAGAATCAGATGGGGAATATGAAGGATAAGAGATGTAATCATCATTACTACATTATGTTATTACTGGTATGAATCAACATAGATAATACAAGAACACTAATTTAATGTTAATTTTTAACAATTAACATTCATTTATTGCTAGATAGCCATCACTTCCATTAACAAATTTAATATTTGTAGATTACAGCAGCCTCAAAATAAGAAATAAACAGTTACAGTGTAAAACACAGTGTTAACAGTGTAAAAAGCACATTAAGCACGAATTGGTTATAATAAGGTCTTTCAATGGCTAATACAACTATGAATGCAAACAACACGCATGAATTCATCTGTCTTATTGCTTAAGATTCCTTTGGATGGAACCATAAACTGTTATTGTTCCATGATTTGTGAACGATATTTTATAGTATAGGCACCTCATTTTTTCGTTACTCAATCTCTAGTTCAGAATTAGGCTAAAATATCAGAATCTGCTACTTTCATACGTAAGAAAATACATACTAAATACACAGTACAGTGTGCTTTTTTCTATATTTAATGTTGGTATTAGATTACTGAGTGTAATTTATCGCTTAATGTTTCACGAATATCCTTATATGGCTTCACTATCATTCATGGTTTCCCCGAAACGGAGCCCTGCCTAGAATATATTACCCATGTATATGTTCCAAGGAGTTTCTCTTTGTTATTAACAAGTAGATAAGGAAAACGAAATTCGACGTATTAACCTTTTAATTGCTGATATATCTAAGTGCTCTAAATTTTTACTCGATTATTTCATATCTAATTATTTAAAAACTGAATTTTTCAGTTTTTGCAAATGGTCAGCTTTAAAATCAAATACATTGATCTTTGAGTATTCTGATTATTTTTAAGTAATAAGAATCAAATAAAATACCTTGCTTTAGTTATCTATTCTATGTATATGTCTTTCTATTTATATACTCATATAGCTGATCATGATGTATATTTTCTCATACGTATGCATAAGTATTATAAAGATTGTATAACGCCTAATTTTTGTATAAGTCTAGGTCCTCCTACTCAATTTACTATTTCAAGCGTACAAATCCTTCTTTCACACATACTAAATACTGAAAAATGAAATTTATATATATATAAACATTTTATAAACATATATAAACATGTGTGTTTCACAGACACTGTCATCCCAAGGTATAATTATTCTTTTTTATTTGAATGGGAAATAATGATTTAACCCCTTCCCATATAAATCTGCTTTACTAATTTATCAGTTAGGCTTGCATGGTTTATCATTCATACAGTATTGTTCTGTATTTAACCATTTAGCGAGAATAGCTTTTACGATTCCAAGTAGAATAAGTTTATACTTCTGCACAGTTTTCGATATTTTCCCAGCAGGAATCGATTGTACGTCTTAAGCAAATAATCATGTGTTTATAATGTACATTTACTGTAGTATATATCTGACATACATTTAGGTACCTTGTAAACATTGTCAATTAATAGTTATGTTGTATAGAAATTATAATTAATAAAATACGATTGTAGTTATCTAACAGTATAGCAAAAACAATACAAGTAAACTAAGGCTTATAGGCATAACATATTATTTTAATAAAAAAAACATATTATATTTTTAGGTTATGATTATAACATTTTAAATGGATTAGTGGCAATCGTTTTTACATGATAAATGATTAAATTTCATTTAAGTACGACATAGTATGGATAAATGTAAGAATAGCAATACTGATAGATGTAGATTTTAGTAGAAACGTTTACAGCCATGCAAGACTATCGCAGAACACACCTTTTTCGTTTGTAGCTGAAGAAGATGAGAGTGTTGAAAAACTGAAAGTTGAATCAACGTCATGTTTCTTGCATTCGATTTTGCTTAGCATGTCATTTTTTTACATACGAGAGGTTATCTAGAAGTCTTCTACCATATTTATTTTATAATGAAATTGTGTTCCTGCCAAGAGATTTAAAATTTTCCAGTAACTAATTGTATATAGATAACTTTGTATACTTACATAATACACTTAGCTCAATATATGATATCATAGGTATACTTAGAGCTCTGTGTACTGCTTCGCAGCTGTACAAAGCTCCATTATCGTCTGGTGTTGGAGTCAGCGTGATAGTACTGATTGCATTTTCACGGTGTTCGTCCACTGCTTCAGTTTTGTATAGAACGTTATCTGAAAATAAATGAAAAATGAAATGTTATAAACTGAAATATGCACAATAACTTTAAAATTATAATTTTATTTGGCTGTTCATTTTATCAGTTATGGAAAAATTTTTGCCAACTTTCTAACAAGAAGTATACTTTTATAAAGAGCTCTCAGTTTGAAGCTGTATATATTCACCAATGTATTTTTAATATAATGCATTACTTTGCAAGCAGCATTTACCTTATGGACCCACTTAAACCATATCTCAAGACAACAAATATTATTTATTAAATATCAAAGTAAACGAACGCTGCGCTGTTGTGCACTCTTAATATATTGCCTTAATTTCTGTGACTTATTTTAATATGCACGTATATATACGTTCTTACAGATACAACAAATTATTCTAGGTCGTATATATACGGCCCTGCCGGTTAGAGGGTTAAGAAACTGATACTGAATTTGAATTTGAAGTCAGCTACTTCGTCTTAAAAATCATTCGATTGATTTCCATCAGCAAATGACAAAGTTGAAATTAATGATATGAACTCTTTATTTAATTTATTTTGCATATCTTAAAAGTTTATCTCCCGCAATATAAACAATAAAAAAACAGAGAAACGTTTCACGGCGTCCACTTCTTGGAAATGACCCCCTCTAAAACTGACCACGTTTTTTTAGAGCATAAAGATAGCTAACGTTATATTGTTTAAGCAACTATCTACACAGGTAATCAAAAGCCCTAGAATACTTTACGGTATTTGTAAGGAGAATAAAAAGGCATTTAAAACTGAATATATAGAAGAGACACAAGCCATTGTGAAATGTTAAATTCAGACTCAAGATGGTGTTCATTTTACAGAAAACTTTATCGAGTTCTACGTAATCGGGCAATGAAATCCCTGTTCTTCAAATAACAAAATTATTTTGTATTGGGGAGGACATAAAGTCAAACAAATAGAAAATATAATGATAAAATTTAGCCATCCGATTTCGATTACAAAAATTTTAATCATTTGCATCTTTTATTATAACTAAACAGTGGGCCAACTTCAAGCCTATCCGATGATTTGTTTTTCGCTTTGCAATTTCTGTGAATAGCAGTGCATTTTATATTGGGTTATGATAACACAGAATTAAAATCCATTTCAATTAAAGTGAATTTAAGACAAAATTCTATAAGAACCAAAAAATGGCTAACATATAACTTTAATTAATTCCAGCGTATCGAAATATATGTCTTGTAACACACAGTTCTTAAAAATGAGTATAAAAGTAGAAAAATAAACAAGTTCCACGCTTATTCTTTCTTCACGCAGAGCTCGAAATTATGCGAAATTTATTATACAAATAATTAGCCCCGTTAATAGCTATAAACTACACTACAGTTCTTGCAACTCGAGTGTTTAACTCGAGAAATATTAGCCAAGAAGCTATCTTCAGACATCCCACGTTGTTCGAGGAACTTCGGTGGAAATCTAGCGTGCAAATCGTAGAAGAAGTGCCGTGATCACGCATATACTGCAAGAACGAATATACTCATGGTAAACAATTACTAAACATCTAAGGCACGTTTCTTGCTTATATTGATGTAATATATCATACTCTCATATACGTGATCTCTTACGCTTCAACAGAGGTGGGAAAAAGTAACGTTGTAAATATGAAAGCCACGCACCAAACCCTTTCTTGAAAATGGCGTGACCTCTATTTAATAGGCTACCAATCACACGCGAAGCTGTTAAGTAAAGAAAACCGCACGAATCTAAGATTAAAATGGTTATACCAATTCTAGGCACGAATAACTATACAAAACTAAACTAGCTTGAAATATAGCAATGGGTATTTATCTTCTATGGCACTTTTTTGCCTGTATTGATAAGGAAAATATTTTATAATACATATATTTACTCACAATTTTTTATCTGTAGTCATATCTATTTGTGCCAATGATTAAATTAAGTTCTTTGTAAAATATACCTACGTCTACCTGTCTACGTATTTGTTTAGCTTTACATATATTCAGATTTCTGTTATTTGCAGTATAGATATGCGAGATCACGACTACAGGAAACAAAAAATGCTGTCTACAGAATTTAATCAGAAGCATCTTAATCATTGACTTGACTGTTGAATATTATTTTGTCTTATACGAATTTATACCAACTGCATTAAGTATTACCCTTTCAGGAAATTCTAAAGATTCCAATATCAAGAAATTTCTAATGAAGTAAATGAAAATTCTAATGAACTACGAGATTCTTCTAATCAGCTCAGTGGGAGGATTATTAAGACTGCTGAATATTAGCAGTTAGTCCCGCGCCAACAGGCTGGTTGAATGGTTGGTTTTCGTGATTTTCTCCGTATATTAGGGGAATACGAGCCAGTTTTCCTTAGAAAGTCTTCCATGAAAACATTCCTTCCTTTAGACAGTTACCTTTCATGTGCTTTACCATATTCAAATAACAAGCCTCTAATCAACTGAGAGAGTATGATGAGAGGGAGCCCGTTCAGAATTGAATTTAAGGTAGGCTGATTATATGTTTTCGCTCTGAAAGTAAAAATGGATTGGCGATCGCGAATCAACACTAATAAATTCAGAACGAGCTGTCAGCCATCTACTATCACCAACAAGGGAATACAGCTGTGTATCAATATAGTTTTATCTAAATAATAATCAAAACTGCCAGCTCTCCGGTAAAACTAGAATATTCCAATTTTTCACATCTCCGTCTTTTAGGAAATTACCAAATTTGCAGTTTTAAATTAAATTTATCTGAATTATTTCTTTATATGGTGAAAGAAATGTGGATCAAATGTGAATTCCTCATCTAAGAAAACCGATGATCTTTCAAATGTGAACTTCTCATCTAAGAAAACTGATGATCACTAAACGTCAAAGGGAAAGGAAATAGGAATAGTCCTGATAATAAATTCTTATAAGAAACTACGGCAGTAACTCTTAATGAAATTTAAACTGCGCAAAATCCGTCTCACATCAGTGATAAATAGATTAAATTCGCTTTCTTTTTGTTAAATATGAGCTCTTCAAATGTATTTTGAAGATATACAGAGATTATAAAGCGATTTTAAGTCAAATTTGCCAATATACGGAGTTGTTCTGAACTTGCATCCGCAAAAGAACGCGAAAAACCTACCTATTTTACGAATTGGTAGCTATGGTCAACAACGTACATTAACAAGCTTAGAGTTCGGATCCATCACAGTTGATGTCGGTTCTGTTAACCACCATACCTTACGTGCAATCGATTATATTCTACCACTTTATTACATGCAAAATTGTAAGCAATAACATTTATATTATATGCAAAATTAGCAATATGATTCAGTATCTTCTTACGCACAATTTAGACTACCTCCTTGCTAATTTAGCATGATTTTAGATTACAATGTTGAGTTTTAAATTAGTACTTGGCCAGGAATACTGGCACACTAGCGGCTAAGCAATAAATTTTCTGAAGATTGGTATTTCGATCTGGGTTCGAATCCCAGCGAACGGGTTGGCTGCATATGATTTTTTGTGATTTTACCTATGAAAAGAGGACGCGAGCCATTTTCCCATAAAAAAGTCCTCTATAAAGACATCCATCCATACCAATCGGCGAATGGCTCTCGAATTTCTTTATTTTTACCAATGAACCCAACAAAACCTAACCAAGTAGTAACTGAATGCCTAAGACTATTGAACACTGATAGTTCCACCCTACATGGGTACTTTCGGGGCTTTTGTCATGTGCAAGGCTAATCTAAACGAGTCAATTTCTTTTATAAAGTCTTTCAGGAAAACATCCCTTTCCCTTACGTAGATAGCTCTGTTGCGCTTTGCCAGATTAAAAACATAGGCTTTAATTATATTACGTTACTTGTATTTACTTTCTGTAATTTATTTTTGTTAATGCTGTAAATGCTTACTAATATGGTTATATTTCAGCATAAATAGTAAAAGACTAATGTCTCTAATATCTTTAATATCTCTTATATAATAAGATACTAAAGTCTATATTAGATATTATTAGAAGTCTAGTCTTATATAAGAGACTAATGTCTATCTATATTAGATATAATATGAGACATTCTCTTATTATATCTCAATTAACATGTATCATCATCTCTTATTTCTATTCATCTACTTCATTTTGGCATTACTTTGCCTTAGATAATTATTTCATTAACTATATGCAAAGACTTAAGCAAATCTTTGAACATTAAATTAGTTAAATTCAAATTTATGTCATTAAACATATTCCCTATGAAATTAAAAGAATTAAAAGTAATCCAAGTAAGTACTTAACACAGTTGATAGTTTCATTAATTATGGTAAACTATATAAGGATTATTCTTATAACAGAGAAAATCCCCTGTGATAGATTTTCTGTAGGCATCTGTCTCATTCGTATGTTCCAAGTGAAGAAGCCATCAGGTGGATTCAAACAAACTGTTTCGCCAACTAAATAAGGCGCAATCGGCTTATCTACCTCTTTAGCAATAATATTATCATAAATGATCGATTTTGATAATTATTGTATATTAGCAAGCTAAAATTTATGTTTAATTTAACAAATAACCTCTTAACATATGTAAATCACTCAACCATATTAAATCGCCATGTCTGTTTATTTCACCAGCGCACATGAATTATTCACTAGCGTTAGACTAATTACATGGATACAAGTAAAAGCGTCAAAGCAAAAGAAACATATAAAATCCTACAAAATTCATCCTTAGTATTTAGCTGAAAAAAATTAGATTTTCTTATAGAAGAAAAGAAATAATTTATTAATAAACATAATTGCTTTGATTATTAAAATTATAAAGCGCTCTTCTCAGTATTTGAAGACTGAAATGGTTATTGGAGAATAATTCATATTTGAATTTTCAGTTTAATCAAAAACATCAACCAAATTCATGAAAAAATTATAATAACTGATAGACAAGTCATGCATTTATGGATTTTTCTTCTATCATAATACTGAGAATTAGTTTTGAATTAACTATCATTTAGT